GGGGGGGGCGTCCGGAACAAGCACTAACAGTCAACTCCTGTCTAGAATTATCGGGCTCAGAGAATACGTGTAGGTAATGGAAAGGTTCGAGAGCGCATGGGTTAAAACTGCTATGGAAAAGTACAAATACTATGACGATGTTTCTCTTTCACAATTGCTATTGGCTGACATCTGACTTGACGTAAGATATTACTTTAGGTATTATATTCAGGCTCTATACGCGAACGAGACTTCGCAGAAAGTGCAGGCCCTCTTAAATCCCATTCTCCTACCGCTCCGTGCTATGTAAACTGCAATGGTGTATCATAAAGTAGCTCGTTTTTTCTATCAACCCGCGAGGATTGACTCGCTGAGTGATGTGGCCACTGCGAGGTTGGCACCCTTGCTTGCATGTACGGCTCGAGCGACAAGGCCTCGTTGGAGATTTGAATCTGACGACGACAAGCTTCCTTTGAGCCAAAGGTTTGTGATCTCGTCTCGTGCAGGAAGGTACGCCACGCAGCAAGCCGCAAGGATCTGGGGGTGCTCTGAGGGGACTGGATCAAGCACCATGACGGGTTCATCGTTGTCTTGCCCAGGCACAAGCGCTGCAACACCCCCCGAGACCGTATCGACACAATCAATACCCGCATCAGCAAGAGCAGCTGCCGCTACTGTGATGCAGCCACTGAGGACATTCATCATATCCCATTCCTCGCTTCCTTGTTCGACAGCTACCTGCCTAGCCTGGTCTCCCTCAACGACCGTGACGATCACGTCGACACCACTCTTGGGCCACCGATCTGCAATGATGGCACCACGCAGAGCTGCCTCAAGGTGCGTGCTCAAATCACGTTCGCTTGAGTCGCGGAGATAGCCTCGCCGTTGGCGCGTCGCGAAAGGTGCATACTTAACATGTGTAGAGAGGACCATATGAGGTGAAAAGGGCGCTGATCGAGGTAAAGACCTGGGCCCATGAACAGTGCATGTGAGTTTCATTCCTTTGCTGCCAGATCCATCTTGCGATTCGACTTCAAGATATGCTGAGCCAGAGGCAGACGGTGTAATTCCAGTTTTGAGATCTAGTCAACTGTAAGTCATTTGGTTCAAGATTGACCCGAACATGAGTTGGGACAACTCACATTGTGCCCTAATGCCATTTGCCGCGCGGGTACGGCTTGAAGCGGTGGTTTCGTCAGCCTCGAAAACAGGAGGGACGGTGCTGCCTCCTGGGCCATTGATGCGTCGTCGGTCAGCCATCTTGAGAGTCGGCCTTTTCTATACCTTTTCTCATTAACCTGGAGAGCATGGATTTTTATTGAGAGTGGATGGGAATTTGCTAATGCATCAAACGGGGCGCTACTGTGATTAGTCATCTTTGACTCCATCCGCTCTACTTCAAATTTTCTCGCGGACCTCAATTTCAGACAAAAAACTCTTTCTTCTTCATCACCCTCGAAGATTGTCTTCTCCAAGAAGCTCCTCCAGACAAGCGAAAACGACTGCAATTTGGTCGATTCATTGCATGCTGTTGGTAGCCTTTTCCGGGATTGTTGACTAGTCTTCGGGTGATGCCGTTTCTATCAGGTACGTGATGCGCCGCTGCGTTTCTGTCTACGCGCAATGATGATCCTTCACACCACTGTTCCCGCGACACCTGAGCGATTGAACAACATGCACTACCATCTGAGCAACTGCCCTTGATCCCTCTTTGCCATCTATCTTCGCATGAGTGCTTGGATTTGCGCTAACATGCCAAAGGAAACAGGCGCCCTTGCTACTTCGAAACAGCTCTGCCATATTAAACAGCAAACAGGTTAGTAAATTTTCTCCCCACCCCACCACACCCTACCATATCCCAATGTCGATGATGAGAAACCTTTTCATTCAGTTCTGCTACTGAACCAATGTGATGACTCCATTATACCAAACCAAGATCTCTGATACACATTTATACACTCACTTTCAATACTTGAATGTTTCTTTTCTGTTCAGGAGCTGACCAGGAAACAAGCAGATTACCCACTACATCGTAATACGTCTTGATGGAAAAAATTTCAAACAACTCTAATGGTAAGTCTATTGCGAAGTTGCAAGGTCAAAGGAGTTGTATTGCATGATGACACAAGTTCTATCCATTCAACGACTTCTTCTTGACCAAGTCACCCTCCCGCACCCTAGGGTTCTTTGAGGCTCGATGATGGGTTGTGGAGTTTCTCTCACGAGTGTTATGAAGACTCCAGTGTCCGGGCTGCCAGTAGTCCGTTCTGGGCTGCTGGTATCTCGGGCCGGTCGAGATGACTGAGTATACCGGCTTGTCTGAACTATCGCATACTCCTTTGCATCGTGCATGATCTTCGTCCATCAGTAGCCTTGACAATGACCAGTGGCTAATGGAGATAGATTTGCAAATGTAGGGCTCATTAATGACACGACGTTCGACAGTAAGTTAGTCTCGGCCTTTTAGTTATCATGCCAGGACTAGAAATACAACATGAAGTTTTTCGTACAAACGAATCAAGATTCTGTGTGACGTGAATGTGATCGCCTGTTTTCTGACGTCGCTGAGTGATCCTGAGCATGCGTGTAGTTGCTGATAGGTATCTATTGGCTTTCAAGAGAAGCCACTATGGTTGTAATATATCTGATACTCCATGACCTTATATCCTAAGAACCTTCATTAACTGCGCTAGTGTCTGCCAGTTCAGTCCTCGGGCAATCACTTGCTTCATTACATCAGGAGAAAGACATATTGTTTCTGCCAATTTTGATCATGACTGTCCTTCGGTCAGCCCGTACTCTTTTCTGAACGGATGGTACCCAAAACTTTTAGAGGTCATCTTTTCTGATACGTTACCCCCTAGGCTTAAAGTTCGTTCCTATTCTTAGACCCTTACGATGGAAGTGTGGATCGTCGTGTTACTACTCGAAAAGGTCAAGTCTGGAACGAGCCGGACACGAAAGACCAATCAACAATGACCATCCGACCCCTTGCCTTGACGAGCCTGAAGGGGAGGGCAATTAATTGAACAAATGCATTTCAACGATCACTCAAACCCGCCCTGGGCTGCTGCAACCATCCATACGGGACAAAATAAGCGAGCTAGCTTCTGCCATTTATGCTAACTACAAGGCTGTTTCCTTTTTTGTACCTCAAAGCTTAGACGTCAACACCCCCTAGCCTCCAGCTGGCAGTGGCAGTGACAGTGGGACTCTACCGAGCGATTCCCATCAACTTCAACTGTTTGCTGGCTTTTGCTTCTGTTCTCATCGTGCAACCGCAACTTCGATACCAAAGATGATGCCCCGGCACCACGCCGCCGCCTTTTCAAATGGCTACCCGCGCGGCAATACCTTCGACATCTCACCGCACAAGTATGACTTTCCGAACACTTACCTCTCGTTGAAAGTCGTAAACATTCATGACAACTCATGATGCTAACAGAACTTCTCGGCCAGATTTCAGCCGCGCACCTTGACACCCGCACAACGCCGTCGCAACAAGCTTCTCACCCGCCTGGGTGTTTGCGCAGCACTCCTGTTCGTTATTAGCCTTTGGCTCTGGCCTTCCAGCTCCGTCGCATCCTTGGTTTCTTTTGGACTCCTTTCTACAACTGGGACTCCCGAGCTCGAGACGGTCCGATATTACGATTTGTCTACTGTGCAGGGTACTGCTCGTGGCTGGGAACGCGAAGAGCGCATTCTGCTATGCGTGCCGCTTCGTGATGCTGAAGCGCACTTGGGCATGTTCTTTTCTCACATGCGTAATCTGACATACCCGCACCATCTGATCGATCTCGCATTTCTCGTCTCCGACTCCAAGGATAACACCCTCAAAGTTCTCACTGAGAGCCTAGAAGCCATTCAAGCCGACGAGGATCCTAAGCAGCCTTATGGCGAGATCTCCATCATCGAGAAGGATTTTGGCCAGAAAGTCAACCAAGACGTCGAAAGCCGTCACGGATTTGCCGCCCAGGCCAGTCGACGAAAGCTGATGGCACAGGCTCGAAACTGGCTTTTGAGTGCGGCCTTGAGACCCTATCATTCATGGGTTTATTGGCGCGACGTTGACGTAGAGACCGCCCCTTTCACTATCTTGGAAGACCTTATGCGCCATAACAAGGATGTCATTGTCCCAAGTAAGTCCTTGGATTGACATGTGCTGCAATTTATCTTTTGAATACTGACTGGGAATCAGATGTCTGGCGACCCTTGCCCGACTGGCTTGGCGGTGAACAGCCCTATGACTTGAACTCATGGCAGGAGTCTGAAACCGCTCTCGCTCTCGCCGACACTCTAGACGAAGATGCTGTGATTGTCGAGGGTTATGCTGAATATGCCACATGGAGACCTCACCTGGCGTATCTCCGTGATCCGTTCGGCGACCCAGACATGGAAATGGAGATTGACGGTGTTGGGGGTGTCAGCATTTTAGCCAAGGCTAAAGTCTTCCGATCTGGAGTTCATTTCCCAGCTTTCAGTTTCGAAAAACATGCCGAGACAGAAGGCTTCGGCAAGGTAAAAGTTCTCAGCCCTATCGTGTTTGTTCACGACTGACAGGATCTGAACAGATGTCAAAGAGAATGGGGTATTCGGTCATTGGTTTACCTCATTATACCATCTGGCATTTGTATGAGCCTAGTGTGGATGATATTCGTCACATGGAGGTTCGTGGTTACCAATCTTCCGATTTACGTTGTGCAATCTGACTTATGGTATAGGAAATGGAACGAGAACGACTTGCTCGTGAGAAGCAAGAAGAAGAAAAGAAGAAGAACCAGCAAAAGATCAAAGAAGAGTATAGTGATACTAGAAATGAATGGGAAAAAGACAAGCAAGAAATGCAAAATTTGGCAGCGCAGCCAAAGCCTGCCAATGATGCACCCAGAGCTCCCAGCCGGGACGGCTTAGCTCAACCTCACAAAGAACAATCTGGGCCAGGCCAACAGATTAACAATGGTGCTGGTAATGCAGCACAGGGCGAAGACACACCTCGGGCTGTTAAGCAGGAGGGTAAGCAAGCTCATGAAGTCGCGAAGGATGTGCCCAAAGCAGGCCAAGAGGCCGTCCAGAAGCCTGGTAATGCGATTGCTTGACCTTGATGTATAATAAACTGGATGTCATCGGAGTCTTTGACCATCGAAGCGGGTAACTATCACGAAGCTACGTTTAAAATCGTAGTCGATAGTGACCGCTGGTATTTGCATGTAGCTGGCGTTTGGATGGGAAAGGGGGCTGTTTCATCAACATCAAGACGAGAAAATACTATTCCCTTGTCACGATAAAATCGATACTGGCGTTTGCCAGGTCAAATGGACACGAAAGTAATGTGATTAGATGCAATCAGGCTGCTTTTACTCGGGCTGTTTTCTTGATGCCGGTGTAAGAAACCGTAAGAAACCACCAGTCACTCACTGTAGGTTTGTCCAGTCAGCGAAGGACCAATATGGACAATCCTGGCACATTCCATTATTGCAGTTCTTGAAGCGCAATGTGTTTAATTCTATTTCAAATCAGACTCTTTATTTCTGGTAGTGATCCAATAACAATCAGCAGGCAATGGTTCTCTCTTTTCTGGCGCAATGTTTGTTCAAGGGGGTCGTGGATGAATAATGACAGCTAGCCAATCAGCGCAGGCCCTGGACGACACCTGGACACCCGGAGGACAGCGCGCAGCTTCTGGGGCGGGATGGATCTTGGTCGGGAAGTGGTACCTTACCTTAGCTGGCCATGCCTACGCTACGTAGCGACTTTATCCATCATCCAGCCTCTGCCACAACTTCCTGGCAGACAAATCGCTAGCTACCTCTATATTGCTAGAAACCTTGGACAGAGACGTGCCGCTGTTGTCCATGCCATTCATCATTTCCTAATTCTCCCGGCGGGCACCTAAACGTTGCCCTCACATATTCGATTCCTCCCTATCCGCCCCGGAACCTGGGCGAGCCCAACGATCGCAAAACCAGCAACGACCTCAACCTTGTAATACAATGAGTCGCGATGAACACCCGTCATTGAACATGGAGAGTCCTAGGCCATCTGGTGTCTCGAGTTTCGAGAACCGTGCGCTTCCTGCGCGCATGCAATACCGAAGTCGACCTGTCTCTGTTGCAGTTGACCCCTTGTCCTTGGTCATATCGGAGTGCATCTCCATAACTTCTGCTATTCAAAAGCATGCGCGTTCACCTCACTCATCCGTCTCAGCTATTCTAGGTGGGAGTCCGAATCCTCTCCAGCTGGAACCCCCAAGCCCTTCACCGCGTGAGCGCAGTAAAAGCCCGGCGGGCAGCATCAGCGGCGACGGCTCTCATGACGCCCTTACCAACCGTTGGGGTTTACGTGGGCAAAGGGGGAAAAGCATGCAAGACAACCCCATGATTGCTGGCTTTGGAAAATTGAGGCATGAGCTTGCTGGTGTAAAAGGTACGGTAGGCCAATTGGTCCGCCATTCCCAAGGTGTAGATTATAATGGCTAACTTTTTGGTTTCTAGATATTCGGTCGTTCGATGCCCCAGCGATTCTGGCTCCCTTCCTCCATGTCATCCAGACCAAGGGCACCGCCGCTCCCATTACAATTCTTGCTCTGGGCGCATTGAGAAAGTTCCTAGCTTACGGGTTCATCTCCCCAGAGTCACCACGATTCGCATTAGCTATGCAGTCCCTTTCCGCTGCTGTCACACATTGCCAGTTCGATATTAGTGACTCAGGCCAAGTCGAGGTTGTTCTTTTGATGATTCTTAACCTTATGGAAGACATGATGTCGGGGCCAGGAGGTGATATTCTCAGTGATGAGAGCGTTTGCGACATGATGGGCCGTGGTCTTGCTATCTGTTCTCAACCACGGTTTTCCCCTGTCTTGCGCCGCACAGCTGAAGCTTCACTGGTAAAAATGTGTCAGATTATTTTTGAGGATGTCAAGCATCTCGACGTCGAGGTTGGCGACGACGGCAATGCCCAGGATCAACAGACCGACGACAATCTCAATGGTATCAGGATGGAACATCCTACCCCTGAAGCGGATGGCTTGACTACTGAATCGGTAAGCCTGGAGGTCCCTGTTTCATCAACTCCAGATCCCGAGCGAAGCAGTAGAGATACCATAGCCACTTCCGAAACAGCCATGGCAACCATTAGCGACCCATCTGAGGAAACGGAATCTGTCGATCTTCGACCTTATTCTTTACGTTCCGTTTGTGAGTTGCTGCGGGTGCTGGTAGACTTTTTAGATCCTCAAGACCGACAACATACCGACACGATGAGAGTCATGGCATTGCGAATTATACATGTTGCTCTGGAGGTTGCGGGCCCCTTCATCTCTCGACACCCTGCTTTGGCAGGCATAGCAGAGGACCGCTTATGTTGCTACCTGTTCCAGTTGGTTAGGTCAGACAACATGGCCATCCTTGAAGAATCCCTCATTGTCGCCGGGACGCTCCTAGCAACGTGCCGTGGAGTACTGAAGCTTCAACAGGAGTTGTTTCTGTCATATCTGGTTGCTTGCCTGCACCCAAAAGTCGAGATTCCCCGCGAACCAGGCATCGACCCATCCCTCTACGCAGGTATTCCGCAAACCCCCAAACTTGTGAAACCGTCACAATCGTCACAGCCTAGTAGCGGAAGGTCGACTCCAGTCCCGCTCAAAGATCGACAGAAACTTGGTCTGGAAGGGGGCGCCCGGAAACCAGATGCTCGTCAGGCTATGGTGGAAGGCATTGGAGTTTTGTCGAGAATGCCAACGTTCATGGCTGAGCTTTTCATCAACTATGATTGCGATGTCGACAGGGCTGATCTTTGTGAAGACATGATTGGTCTACTCTCCAGGAATGCTCTCCCCGATTCTGCAACATGGAGCACCACAAGTGTGCCGCCACTCTGCCTTGATGCACTACTTCGGTATATCCAATTCATTGATGAGCGTCTTGAGCAGAACCCCATCTTTGAAGGCTTTCCAGACCCAGCAACCCTGAGAGAGCAGCGACGGAAGAAAAAGATCATCATAAAGGGCGCGAGCAAGTTCAACGAAAAGCCTAAGGTGGGCTTAGGGTACCTGGAAGCGCAGGGTATTATCAAAGATGCAACAGACCCTGTGGCAGTCGCCAACTTTCTTAAAGGCACCTCCCGCGTCAATAAGAAAGTACTTGGTGATTTCATCTCTAAAAGGGGTAACGAAGCAATACTAGAGGCATTCTTAAACCTCTTCGACTTCTCCAATAAGCGCGTGGATGAAGCCTTGCGTCAATTCCTGGAATCTTTCCGACTGCCCGGAGAAGCGCCCCTGATTGCCACGATCGTGGAATCTTTCTCCGAAAAGTATTGTTCCAATGATACAACTGGCGAAGTTGCAGACAAAGATGCGGTATACATCTTGACATACGCCATCATCTTGTTGAATACCGACCAGCACAACCCTAACTTGGACGCGAAGAAACGCATGACGCTGGAGGACTTTGCTAGAAACTTGCGAGGAACCAACAACGGCCAGAATTTCGCGCCCGAGTATCTACAGACTATCTACCAGTCGATCAAATCGAATGAAATCATTCTTCCTGACGAGCATGATAACAAGCATGCTTTTGACTATGCTTGGAGAGAATTACTCTTGAAGACCGAGTCAGCTGGCAATCTTGTTATCTGCAATACGAACATTTATGATGCCGATATGTTTGCAACAACATGGAAACCAATTGTTTCCACGTTGTCCTATGTTTTCATGTCCGCCACCGACGATGCTGTCTTCGCCCGAATCGTTACTGGCTTTCACGAGTGTGCTCGCATTGCCACAAAATACAAGAACTCAGAGGCGCTTGATCAGATTGTTTACTGTCTCAGCCATATGTCGACTTTAGCAGCTGATTCACAGTTCAACACTTCTTTGAACACCGAGGTCCAAGCTGGCGACGGCAGTGTCATGGTTAGCGAGCTTGCTGTCAAACTCGGGCGAGATCTAAGAGCCCAGCTAGCAACGCTTGTGCTCTTCCGTGTTGTCACTGGCAGTGAAGAATTGATCCATAGGAGTTGGAAATATGTATGTTTTCTTGTTCCGTCACCCGACGCCCTACTAACACGACTAGATGGTTCGCATATGGCTCAATCTCTTCAATAACTCGCTCATCTCATCATTTTCGCCAAGCAATCTACCAAGCTTACCACTACCTCCCATTCCTCTTCAGACGCCATCGCAAATCATTGACCGCGGAGCACGAAACGCAGACACAGGGTTCTTTTCGGCATTTACTTCGTACATCTCAAGTTACGCTGCGGACGACCCCCCCGAGCCATCCGACGAGGAACTTGAGAGCACGCTCTGTACTATCGATTGCATCAAGCAGTGCAAAATGGCTGCTGTATTTGAAAACATTGCGTGAGTCATCTTTTAAACTTCTGCAAACTCGAGAAACTAACGTCTTGCAAGTGATTTGAAACCGTCCGTAGCGAAGGTTGTCGTTGAAACACTTGTCGAACAATTGCCTGAGGATTCAAATACAACAGTGATCAGTGTCAAGCACGAGAGTATGCCAGCATCCTCTACAAATGGGCACACCCGACCACCGGGACACTTGGAATATGATCCGAGTGTGGCGTATATCTTGGAGTTTTGCACACTCTTGGCATCGCGAAATGCCGAGTCAATCGAAAGCATGGGTAAAATCGTCTTCGACACGCTTCAAGGCGTTCTTCGCGATCCAGCACGCTACCACGCTGTTACCGTTTCCCGCGCTTCGTTCTACGCTTTGAAGCTGCTCAATATTGGCTATGTCAGTTCTGTAACAACCAAGATGGAAACCGATGCTAACTTCGTCCAGGAACACGATTTCGTCAACGTTCCATTTTTACTTCACACAATCTCAACCCTGCCACAGGAAGCTCTGGGCAAGAACTCGGATCTAGTGCTGCAGGGTCTCTCACTGTGCATTGAAGAATCTGGCCCCCTGCGACGCGAAATAATGACGTCTCCCGACTTTTGGGCCATTCTACGTACTTTGGCCCACCGCCCTGAGGCGGCGGCATTGGTGTTCGAAATTTTGGAAAAAGGAACCACTGGAACACCTCCGGCTATCATGGCTGACAACTATGAAGCGGCGATTTCGCTCTTGAATGATTTCGCTTCTGCTGCTAGCCCACGGCAACCCAATGTGCAACCTCGAAGTCCACGGGCTCAAAAGACTAGCCCTCCCAAGCAAGATAAGAAGCGGTAAGTACCAACAAGTGTGTCTCCCGGTCCAGATTTGGCTAAATGTTACTCGCAGCATGGCAGAGACGGCTAGCAGAGGGTCGAAAGCAGTCAACATGCTTTACAATATGACAGACAGGATTCCTCACCTCATGCAACAGTCTCAACTCGAAAGCAGCGAAGGTTTGTTTATTCCATAAAAGACTATTAGCGTAAAAGTCTAACCATTATACAGCTTGGTCTGCCTACTGGCTGCCCATCTTTCAAGCCTTGACCACGCAATGCGCAAACCCCTGCAGAGATGTACGGCAGCTTGCGTTCTCTGCCCTCCAACGGTCGCTCTTATCTCCAGAATTGACCTGCAGCGATCCTAAAGAGTGGACTGCCATTTTCGGAAAGGTGCTCTTTCCACTGATATTCCAGCTTCTCAAGCCCGAGGTGTTTCTGTCAGACCGGGATGGAATGAGCGAGATGAGAGTGCAGTCTGCATCTCTTCTTTGCAAGGTTTTTCTCCAGTATATGGTACTGCTATCTGAGTGGGACGGAATGCTGGATTTATGGATCAAGATCCTCGATATCATGGATCGTCTTATGAACAGTGGCCAGGGCGATAGCCTCGTGAGTTACCCAACAAACAGCATCGATTGAACAAATACTGACCAACGGCAGGAGGAGGCTGTTCGTGAGAATCTCAAAAATGTCTTGTTATTCATGTCCAGTAGTGGGTACCTTGTTTCACCGCACAAGGACCCCTCAAAGGAGAAACTCTGGTCAGAAACCTGGAAACGTATAGATCGGTTTTTACCTGAGCTCCGCGGCGAGCTCGCATTAGACGAGCCTTCAAGCAAGGAGAATGCAATTGATCAGGCCGTGGGTGCGCCAGCACAATCCCAGGATACGGGCGAGAAAATGGATGAGAAAGCAGACAAGGGTGCAGAAACCAAGGCAACAGAAGAGCTAGTAAAGGAGGACGAGGAAGACTAGTACTAGACTTTGATATGGTAGAAGGAACATGAAAAGTAGTGTTCAACACCAAGGCTGTGTCAGCAATGTATCCTACCCAACGGCGGTCTGGGTTGGGATTCAATGTGGATTTAGATGCCACTCGACGGAGAGCATTGCTTCGTAGTGTTTAATAGAAGAATTTTTATATCCATCAGTTTGGAGATCAGTGGGAAAGTCGGTAAATAAGAAGAAGAAATTCAGTAGCAATGGAAGCCTCCTACCCTATCTTTCTTTCCTTCGTTTCCTCAATGGATGGGGATGCATGTGACCGACTTTATGCCTACTTCGCGACGTCATCCGCGATGTGGGGTTTTGCTTGGGCAGCACAGGCAAGTATCTCAGAGTAACACGACGATAAGGGACTTTGAGTAACACTCCGGCCATCGGTTCCTGGGGCTTACGTCCCGATCACCTTTAATTGTGAAGTTCATTACCTACTTAGTACTTAGCTGTACATGGCGTTCTGTACATATTTACGGGACCTCGCTTTCTAACCCTACAACAATCGAGCCGTTGACTTGACAAGTCCAACCGAACGCCTCTTTGTATGTGCAGACGCATCCTTTAGCAGCTGCTCACCAACCGATCCTGTGGGACATGCTACACGCTTGCTAGAATGTCTGAGTACGGTGTTCCGGACGCGCTCAGCTCAGGGCCTGAAATAGACGCCTTACCCACTACCGACGACGCGAACGGCGATGCGCCTGTGTTTCCCCTACTGCAAAACAACGACACTGGGAGCCCATTATCATCTGAAGCCGCTGGAGGTCCTACAGTCGGAGAAGACGACGATGACGATGAACCCGCCGTAGCGAAACCCTTCGTGCGAACAACGAGTCCTGATCCTAGCACCAGGGCGCTTCCAGATAGCTTCGACGATCGCGTTCCGGATCGACTGATTTATAAAATGCACAAGTTCAGTCTATACGAGACAGCCAGTCGATATTATATCGTCGGTGTAGACGTCAGCGAGAAACGATACCGCATCCTCAAGATTGATCGCACCACCGAGGGTGCAGAGCTCAATGTCACAGATGACAAGATTGTTTACAGTCTCAAGGAAATGAATCAACTGCTCGATACCATAGACGACGGGAACCGGGGCACAGGCGGTATCAAGCTCCGTTGCACCACCTGGGGCTTGCTTGGGTTCATCAAATTCACGGGACCTTACTACATGCTGCTCATTACCAAGAAGAGCACTGTCGCCATGGTAGGAGGACACTACATATATCAGATTGAAGGTACCGAGTTGGTTCCCCTTACGCCGGCAAAGTTCAAGCCAGATGCTCGCAATACCGAGGAGCAACGTTTTCTCGGCATTCTGAACAACCTTGACTTGACCCGTTCCTTCTATTACAGCTATTCTTACGATGTTACGCGCACGCTGCAGCACAATGTCATCCGGGAGCGCGACGCCTTAGCCAAAGGCATGTTGCCGCCGGACAACGAGAACTTCAACTCGATGTTCGTGTGGAATGACTATTTACTACAGCCCGCTGTTGCTGCCTTGCGGGATCCATACGATTGGTGCCGACCGATAATTCATGGGTATATTGACCAAGCAGGTGAGATGCAGCGACCTAGGCGTGTATCAGGGGAAAGTCCTAACATTCAGTAGCCCTTTCAATTTATGGACGTACTGCGCATATCACGGTTATTGCAAGGCGGTCTCGCTACTTTGCTGGCGCCCGTTTCTTGAAGAGAGGGGCCAACGACCTCGTATGTTATTTGAACACCCAGATTGGTACCAGCGATTTGTATTCTGACAACTGCCAGGGCTATGTCGCGAACGATGTTGAGACCGAACAGATAGTAGCCGAGTCTCTTACGACTTCATTTCACGCTCCAGGACCAGAGCTATATTGCAGCCCGCAATACACTTCCTATGTTCAACACCGAGGCAGTATTCCGCTTTACTGGACCCAAGACAGCACTGGCGTTACACCAAAACCCCCGATAGAGCTCAACTTGGTTGATCCCTTTTATGGAGCAGCTGCACTGCATTTTGACAACCTGTTTGAACGATATGGAGCACCGATTTATGTTGTCAATTTAATCAAATCAAAGGAACGAACACCACGCGAATCGAAATTGTTAGAGGAGTATACGCACGCAATCAACTACCTCAATCAGTTCTTGCCAGAAGACAAGAAAATCATCCACAAAGCCTGGGACATGAGCCGCGCCTCCAAAGTGCGCGGTGGGGATGTTATTGGCAACCTCGAACTCATTGCAGAATCAGTACTTGCTACGACCGGTTTCTTCCAGAATGGCGACGGGTTGACCAGTCCCATGACAGCGCAGAATGGAGTGGCCCGAACGAATTGCATCGACTGTTTGGATCGTACGAATGCAGCACAGTTTGTTATCGGGAAGAGGGCGTTAGGCCACCAGCTCCACGCTCTTGGTATCTTGGAAGATACATCGGTCGATTATGACACTGATGCTGTCAACCTTTTCACCCATATGTGGCATGATCATGGCGACACCATTGCCGTCCAGTACGGTGGTTCACAGCTCGTCAACACTATGGAAACATACCGCAAGATTAACCAATGGACCAGCCATTCACGGGATATGATTGAAAGCTTCAAGCGGTACTACAATAACTCCTTTCTCGATAGTCAGCGCCAGGAGGCTTACAACTTATTTCTCGGTAACTACATCTTCACTCAAGGCCAGCCGATGCTATGGGATCTGGCCACTGATTATTACCTGCACCACGCCGATCCACGAGATTGGTCCGTTAAAATGAAACATGACTACATCAATTGGTACGCCCCAGCTCACCTGCAAGAGCGAATTGTGCCGCCATATGTACCCAGTAAGGATATTGCTCGTGCTCGTCCAGTTGAGTTCTTCGATGACTATTGGCTGGAGTACTACAGGCCGTCCACGCTCTCTTCTTTCCCCAAGATGTTCGCCTACAAGATGAACTCGACTATTAAATACATCCCCTTAAAATCGACTCAGGATGGCCGCTATGACCTGAGCCCTTTCAGAGTTCGCACAGACAACGAGGTTGATCATAGCGACAAGAAAAAGGCCAAGAAAGATACCTCGCCGCATAAAAATGCGTCGAATCCAGCAAGGGGTGTGGCAGCAGGTGCAACTGCCGTATCGGACGCAGTTTCCAGCCAGTCGCAGGCTAAAGGCATCTCTCTTCAACGTTGGTTGCAGCCTACACAAGATAAGTCTGTTCCCAACAAGTCTCTGCGTTCGGACGCGAATCAACCGCTACAAACTCCTGAAGAGAGCCCTAAGGCAAAGCCCACCGCGCTGGAAAAGTCCAAAGCCGCTCAATGGACCTTTACCAAAGCTGTTCACGATTCCTTGAATCCATCTGTCGCTGAGCAAGAATCCGAAGATTATGAGCGGTATATCAAACATCCACAAAACCTTCCTTTGGTAATTTCAAGTGATACGCCTGTCGATGTGGATGCATCCGAGTATCAAGAGTACGTGGGTGGTGAATGGCAAGACGAGGGTCTGATGGTGAAAGGTACTGAAGAAGAGATTGATGTCTATGCCGAGCTACTCAAAGTCGGGGAGAATCCTCTGACAGTAACTGAGGAAGACGGTCCTAAGAAACGATACAAAGCCTATAGAAAATGGCTGCGTGGGAAATCCTTCTTCAAGCAGCAACCGTTGGACTAATTCTTTGGCAGCGACAGAGCTGGCCTTCAGGCAGAGGCACTGGGGAAAAGTCCTGACAGTTTTGGTTCTTGCTTCAAGACTTCATCAAGCTTTGGTGGCCTTCTCGGTGCATCATCAGCCCAGAGGGCTTTCAGAGCCTCGCCTTGGCTTATTAATTCCTGGGATAAAGCCTGAAGATCTTCTGACTGGTCTTGGGATGAACCATGTTCAAGCTCTTCCAGTAGATTGAGCCAGCATAACGACAGGATTCGAATAACGTTGTCCATATGCTCAGGTTCTCTAACACGAGGCCACGTATTTGCAATGATCGCACCAAGTAGCTGGGTTGTTGCTCGGAGTGTTGGAGGATGTGCGACTGCAAAAGGGTCTGTCATGATAGACGATGACATTGATAAAAGTGGCTGATGCGGCTGATTTAGCAGGAGTTTGGATGAACTTTTCTTTTTTTTTTGGGAGTGCATAGCGACATACCGAAAGGTGTTTACTCGAATAGATACCCAGGCAATTGACCACCACTGTAGTCTTCTGCATGAGAACCTGCACTATACGTGCGTGCTGGGAAGCATGATGATGGCCAGCAAAGATTCCATCTCTAAGAATCTTGTCAAAGACCCTTCGTCTTTCAGAGCTGGCGGGATTTCCAGTATATTCTGCCAGCTTAATGAGCACGTCATATGCTGGGCTAAGGACGGTTATAGACTGGTCCTCTGGTGTAACACTTGGAAGGTAGAGTAAAAGAGGAAAGGTGACGTCTACGAAGACACGTCCAATGCCTGTGCTCTGCAACACTTGAGCTGGGCATCTTTCCACAAAGGCCGCCAAGGTCTTTAGGCCTCTCGCTTTGACCTCGATCGACTCGTCCTCCACAAGCGCTAACAGGACTGGCATGAACGAAGGCCAATGTTCTCGGATGAGTGGTGCCTACGGAGTTAGGTGAGCACTTGGAGACTTCTGTAGATAAAGCAACTGACAGTTGATGCGCTGACAGCCCATTGTACCGTGGCCTCGACCCATGGGGCTTGATTTCTCCACGGTTGAGCTGCTTGAAAGTCCCGCGATCGATCGTCTACGATGGTATACTGGGAAGGTCTTCCTGAAGCCGTGATCCTTGATGATGGAGATTTTGTAAACAACGGTTTCAGAGTGCCCTGTAGTATTCTGACGGCGATAAACTCTGTCAACCTTGTCGCTGGAAGCTGTTCAGACAGGATTCTTGATGCAGCCGATGCAGCGACCGGGGTTGTCCATGGGTCTTGAGGATCAGTAACAGCTGTCAACTTTACCAGAAGATCTTCATCAATAGTGTGTGAGTCTATAATAGAAGCAATGAAGATGCCGGCAATTGCTGCCTCTATAATTAGGCCGGAGTGTTCTGGCGATTGTTAATCCTACACAAAAAGCAGTAGTCACCTGAGATGGTGCCATGGCCTACCTCTGCTCGTCTCTATAACAACTGCCTTCCTACCAAGGGACCTTGCGAACTCTTGTAATTGAGAACTACCTAGATCGGTTTGTGCATGTGAGGCGATATAGGCAACCGTAAGAAGGGTGGCTTCGTGGAGTTCCTGGGAGCAACGATGAAGGTTAGCCACAACACGTCTGTGCAGCATAATTGAGAGCATGGCCGCACCTCATCACTGGCGGCAGCCAAAGAGGACAGGGCATCTGTGGCGCTTGTTCCAAGACAGTGCTTCGACTTATCTAGAATGCATGATACTGTCAGTTTTAAACGCTTAATCACAGGCCATTACGCTAACCTGAGAGCTCAGAAAGCCGCGTGAGATTTGGAGGGCTGAGCAGATCATTCAACGCACCGGGCGTAAGGTGAGTTGAAATATCATCCATTGCCACGAATGGATATGAATATGAATATGCTGAAGAAGGGTACCTCTCCAGAAAGAGAAGAGGGCGAGAAGGAGATGCAGGTACCCAACAGCCACTGAGGTGACGTTTTTTGCGTTGAGCAAGCAGGTACACAGTTAGGTGCAAGGTGTCGGACCCACCTACCACATTACCTAAAGTTAGGCAGTGTAGGTGGTTATCAAGAGAAGACCCAATTGCTATGAGCTTCTATTGCTACCTCCAGTTGTTGACCATTGGTCAGGTAGCTGCGTTTGATTAGGTAGGCAAGTATTCAGAAAGAAATGCTGCAGCTCATGTTCTCTTTTCTCCAATCCAGATAAAGTCCTGATGCACCTGTGCTAGGCGCAATGCTAGTATACACATCTGCTGAAGTTGGGCACAATAACCATAGTGCTCGTCTCAGTTGAGAGACTGAATTAGAGTAGTTTGTCTTCATATGTAACCTCGATTCTACTCTACGGTATACCGAGCTCTTTCCTGCGTTGCTGTACCTCCTCTATCGCCCCTGTTGGGTCTGTCGCATCAGGGTTACGGAGCTGCCACGCAACACACACTTCCAGTGCCTGACCAGTCCACTTTCCAGGTTTTGTTCCAAGTGCCTTGACAAGGCTTTTGCCGTCGAGTAGCTTCTTGAGTGATGTGACCTCGTAGACATCTAGCTTAGCCAGGTGCTCGAGGAAGGCCTCCCAGCCTGATAAGAACTTTCTTTGCTCTAGGAATATGTCAGTCTGAATGTTGTCGAGTAGTGCAAGTGCCGAGTACTGACCTTCCGATCCTTCTCGGTGCCATGTGGGAAGAGTTTCGAAAGCTTCAACCAGCAAAGCATTGAGAACTTGCAGCCTCCAAGTACCAGCTGGGGTATCCCATTTACGGATAGCCATACCGAAGCGGTCACGCTCATTGATATATGGTTCCCCACTACAGACAGCATCTTTCAATGCCAAAATTTCTTCTCGGTGACGATGAGACGCAGCGATGATATCTGACAATCTGTTCGGGGCTCTGAAACCTTCGCGGGCAACAACGGCCACCAGCGGAGGAGCGTTTGCCTTCTTGCGCGGGTTTTGAGGCTCTTTGACAGTCATCCAGGGAGATAGAGCGGCAAGGTTCCATGCATAGTAAGAGGCATCTTCAGAAGTGACGAGACGTTCAGCTATGGAAGTCAAGGAGTTATCCTTCAAGAACTCGTCGAGGCAGGTGTACACAACACTCCACTGCGATATGTCTGGACCGGACAGGTTTCCTTGAGCAGGATCAGTAAAGATGGCATGGAAGAGGTGCAGGCTGTCAATAAATTCAAGGGCTTGACGAGGGTGTGCTCCTGGCTATATGTTAGTGTGTGTCGCAACATGGCTATCCGGCCACTAACCCTTTAACATCTTCTCCAACTCTACGCCAACCCGCTCTCGGCTGATTTTGACACGCAACGCCTCCAAGACCCTTGGATCGGCCATGAACTTGCAGGTGTCGGGATCAATGGTGAAATCAAGTCGGCTGGCAAAACGGACGAGCCGCAGAACTCGCAGGGGGTCGTCCATAAACGTCTGAAAAGGTTCCAAGGGCGTTCTGATGATTTTGGCATCCATGTCAGCAAGTCCTCCGGTAAGATCTTCAACACGATCATCATGAAGGTTGTAAAAGAGCGCGTTCACAGTGGCATCGCGACGGCGGGCGTCTTCTTCTGCTGTGCCGAACTCCATCTGGGGGTTACGGCTATCCTCTGCATAGGTCTCTTTTCGAAGGTTAACGAAGTCAAGATCCAACCCAAACATCTTGACCATGGCTGTCTCGAGGTGCTTTGACTTTTCCGGGTTGCGAGCAACATTGTGCAAGTTACCAATATCGTCAGGACCAATGTTGTGCTTAGACATGGCTTCAGGTTTCTCGCAATAGTCGCACATAGCTTGGGCGAATGGAACGCCTGTCATAGCGTTGATTGCCACGTCGATATCATGGCTCTGAATATTGAGAAGCTTATCGCGTACCCAACCACCAGCCCATCGGAGCACAATAGGCTCTGGAGCCTGCCCAGAGTCGTCGATAGATTGCGCTACATCAAGAAGAAGACGGCGAAGCTGCTGTTCCTTGGGAGTGAGTTGGATTGTGGTTGTCACCATGGCTGTTCTTCGTTTGGTACGTGGTGGTTTAGTAGGAGTCGAATTTTGGTTGGAAACCAGTGAATATTGCTCCTTTAGGAAACGGTCAAGGTTTCTCTTCATGGCATATCCCGGACAGCCCAGGCGCCTAAACATGAGCTGGCGGACTGGATCGCTGAATACCTAGGTAGGTAAGTTGGTGCAATGTTATTAATCAATTTCTTCTGAATTTTTGAGCAGGTGCCTTGGATCTTAGCCTTAGGCCTTGCGTTGTGTTTGGAAGCATCGAGTAGGTGGGGCCGCTTTGCACGGAACCAAAGGGGAAAGAAGTTTGCCTTGTCTAGGTCCTTGAAGGAAATGCCCCGCCCGGGCAGGACAAATTGGAAGGAACATAAGTACCTAGGCAGGTAAGTACCTAACTGGCACATTGTGTCCATTCACCAGAGAGTTATCGATTTGTTACTTGATGATGTGCTACAAGCGGTTTTTGGTGTTTCTACCAATCTTCAGCTCTATACTATACTGTAGGGTAGGAGACTAAGTACATGTTAGGGCGTGGATCTGTAAAGTCTCGTTGATCAGCAAAAGCTGGGGTAAAGCCAATGCTAGTGAGAGGCTCTGGACTTGGCTTGGCTTGGCTTGGTTTGGTTTGGATCTGCTAGCGTCCTGCATTGTACCCGAATCTCATCAGCATTGCCATCGTTCAAGATCGGGTTGCCAAGTAAAGCTACTGGTAGCTTATCATTGCCGTCTCTACCTAATCTAATTTCTGTGCTGTACTGTAAATGTGATCACTCAAGTTCACACACTCACACTCTCTCTTCTTTCGGCCCACGGCAGTTCGGTTCATCGTAGCCAACAACCCGAGGTGAAGTCCATGGGCATACTTTCAATACCACCTTGTACCGTAGTTCTACATAGGCAATTACTGAAGGAGGCAGCACTTGTTAATTTGCCACTGTGGCTGCATGATGAGTATCTGTAACATCCTTACTGTACTATGACTGTCAGTCAACTCTTTGCCGAGCTGAGGTATCAAACGGTGCATGCCTGTAGCTATATCCAATTGCTTTCGTCGCAGGGACACCACCACGGATCGAATGCGTTTGGCTTCTGCGGATGAGCTGCCGGGAACCACAAGCTCTGGCAAATCGTTATCTGAGGCGATGAAAAAGACTGGTCACGGTACCTTTGTCTAGCTTATCTGTTAGCTGTGTAGCGTTATGACGACCGCCTCCATTCCCCTTCAAGTTATCGTCTTTGGCGTCCCCTCCCCAATCATTGCCCTTGATCTGAGCTAGGGGCTGGCTGATCCTACTCTCTCTCGTCATTGTGGTCGTCTTCTGGCTCAGATAGCGGCAACCTCCTTTTGCTGACTCTTTGTATCGTGACCATCACGCTGACGTCAATGGCCGTGGCGATCTAGAATCTAAGCCACCTTTATACACTTTGTGTGGTATTAGCACTGCCTTCAACAGACCAGCTACATACCTACTGCAAGCGTCAAGGTGAGCTGTACAATCTGTACTGTCCTGTACCATACCGCATCTCACCTTCAGTTCCCATAAAACCACTGAGGTATCCGTAGTCATACAAGCTTTGCGGGGTAGATCACCCATTAATGCTTCCCTTTAGTATATAAAGACCCCCATCATCGGACGGCCTTTATTCATCTCTCCTTCATTCCCAGCTTCCTACATATCAACAAACAGCCTTACAACTAACTACTTGATACCCTTTACCTCCTTACCATTTACCGATTTCCAACCATATAAAGCCTGATTGAATCACCATTTCATCCTAATACAAGACAATGGAACAGCCTATCAATAATCGAGAGGGCACTACGCAGCCTTTGAATGAAACCCCAGTCGTTGGTTCCCCTCCTCAGGATCGGAGGGCAAGTGATGCTGCACAGGATCGAAGAATGAGTGATGAGTGGGGTAAGTACCACATATCAGACATCTACAAAATAGTCAACATGGCTGATCAATATCAAGATGCGTCAAAGGTCCCTCCTAGTCGTTTCCAGAAACGCAAGGGGTCCATCTACGCCACGCCCGGTTCCCGTGATGGCCACGTTGAGAGGAATTACCAAGACAAGTACTGGAGCAAGATGAGTGAGAAGAACTGGGGAAGTAAATGAAGTTTGAACATTTGAGGAGAATTGAACCTGGCATGATTGCCGGTTCGGGTGTGTAAGATGACGACAGAAATCGAACTAAGAGAATAATGTATCGTGGGTAAACGAGCTACAGACATGAGTTGAAACAATTGAATTAAATCAGAAATCCCACCTTTGCTACCAATCACTCGTCAATGTCATCAATGTCGATGGCATCGGGATTTGATGGAACAGCGGCTGGCGCTGGATTCCCTCCAACTGGACCCGTGCTCGCTGCGACAAATCCTTGTGGTGCCCTTGACTGCCGTTCCAGAGCTGCCATTGCATCAGTTACCTCGGCATCCCCAGCGCCCTCAGGTCGACGTTGGCTGCGTGCCAGAGCTTGAGAAGCAATAAAGTTGACATCGGTGTTGTACTGCGCTTGCACACTTCGCTTGATGCGCAGCATTTCCTTGAACGTATCTTCGTTGCCATGCTGTACTTCAAACTGCTCCCACTTCGTCCAGAATTCAGGGCTGGTTCTGGGATCGCAGAACTGCGATGCGTGGCCATAGATGGCGCGAGCCCGGTCAATTTCGCCCAACCTCTTCTCCATATCAGCGAACTTCAGACACATGTCTTTAGCTTCAACGTCAGGGAGAGCAGCGATGGCTCTCTCATAGATTGGTCGAGTTGATGTGAGACCAAAATTGGAAGCGGATTTGGTGATATAAAAGTTGAACATGTCGGCTCGATCTTCGTCTGCGACAGCCCTTGTGGCCCGTTCGTAGATTCGCATGGCATGCCGTGCCAAGCCGCGCTCCTCTTCCAGGTTGCCGTACATCAGGTAAATGGTTTTTGCAAACTTGGGGGGACAGTCCTCTACGGCTTGCTCAAAAAGATCTCGGAGTCGTTCAATGCCAATCTTGCGATCAACAGCTTTGGTGAGATATAGATTCCAAAGCTCGAAAGCAACAGGATAGCTGAAAAGATCTAAGCCGCGTTCATAAATCTTGAACGACTCTTCATAGTATTTGTGCTCCTCAAGCAAGTTTGCGTAGTTGACGACTGTTTGAGGTGTAGCAATTCGAAGCTCGAATATTCGTTCATATACCTTCTTGGTCTCTTCCAAAGTTGATACGCTTTCGACAAGGTCAACGTAGAAACTCCAAAGTTTCCAGCTTTTGTGAACTCGTTGTTGGGGCGACAATGTCTCGTCGAAGTAGTCGACGGTAGATCGTTTGGGTGCTTGAACTGCTTTAGCCATGATGCGGACGGCGTCATCGAAATTTTCATTCCGCAGCTCCATCTCTGCCCATTCAATCCACATGTCGGCGAGCTCTGCCACCGACTTGAAAGGGACTTTAATGGCCTTCTCCATGATGACACGAGCGTTTCTTAAGTCGCCTCCACGTTCATAAAACTTGGCGTAATTGGCCCAGAGCTGATGGAAAGCTCCCACGGCACGTTTTGGCTGAATAGCTGCAATAGCATCTGTGTAAGTCTGAGCAACCTCTTTCTTGTTTTCGCCCCAAAGGGCCACCCGCTTCTCCCATTCAGGTACGTTGTTTGGATTCTGGCGCAGCAAAACGTCGTTCAAGAGGAATGGGCGTCTGTCCATGAGTTGCTCAAAACGCATCATTCTGATATCCAATTCGAAGTCTGCATTCTCATCATCGATGCCTTTCTCAGCACGCGCGGATGCGACTTCCATCAAAGCCCCAATTATCGACTCTTCAAATTCGGTATACGCCTCGAAGATAAGGGTGAAATCCCGGACAGTCATGACTGTAGTGATACCCTCCTCGAACACATCACGCGCCCGTTCAAAGCTTCCCCTTCGGATCCAGTAGGTGGCAAGACCAGACCAGAGTTTCCCTCGTTGGTCAGCGAATCGTGTGATGCCACTTCGAATAATACGGTCGGCGTCAATTCCAGTTTCGTGGCCAGTTTCGATATCGGCAGCGTGTTCAACAAGGAGGTCCACCATTTCACTCCAGAGTTCATAATGGCCCTTGCCGTGCTTGCTATTGAACCTTGTATTGTTGAGAACATCAATAAACTTGAGCGCAGCTTCAGTATATAAGCCATTCTGCACAAGCAGTTCAATAAAATCTTCGGCATCTTCGGGATGTACTTGCATATAGCGCCGCCAAATCTTCACAGCAGTCTCTCCAGCAGCAGAATCCGCAAAAGGTCTGTAGATGGCCCATACGCGATTGTGCTGTGTTATCGGTAGAGCTCGCAAGGCTCGGTCGAATGTTCGTCGGGTAATGGTTACGAGTGGCTGTTTTATCAAGAATCTGAGGTACATCTCCCATATTCGTGGCATTTTGTGCAGCAAATTGAGAGCCTTTTCAAAGAGAGCATTGATTTTGCGATACTCAGTGGCGAATAACCCTGAGTTCAACTTAGCGACGTGCTTAACTCGAAACGAAAGATACTAGTCAGGGTGTTAACTTGGGCACTTCAGACTTTGGGCAAGAGTAAAGTCTTTTGACCTACCAATTTCCATAATTTGTACGATCGAGGTAACTGCGTGCAGGCCCGCTCCATCACGTATGCCTGCTCGAGTACTGTGCCGTGTCGTGTTTTAAACTCGATGTATGCTAGCCATGGCTTAACACTACCGGGATCGCGGAGAACATCTTGTTCGTAGACAGAATCTTCATTGGACTAGTAGTAGTAGCTGTCAGCTCGTCTGTTGTCCTCGAGGACACGCGTTGATTTGGGAAACTTACCACAAGATGCAGTTGGGGCTGCCTGCGCGACCTGCTCAGGGCCGGAACGATTGGCGCCATGATCGTTACGATGGTGGGGGATTGGTAAAAGGCAGAATTCCTGCAGAGACAGCGACAAGATCAGATCAACGTGAATAGAACATCATCGAGGCCCGTGTAGAATGTCCCAGTCGTCTCCAAAACCACAATATTCTTGTCAGGAGCCACGCTGTGGCTGTAAGCGCAGGTCGTTTGCCCTATAGAAAGTCCGTTTTGTACGCGCCCCTAGGAACTAGAAAAAGAAAAAGGCCAGCGTGCTGGACTCAGTACTTGCGACAGAGAAACGCGACTTATGGTTTGTATTTTTCCAAAGCTGCGATGACTGCCGGGGGAGTTGGAATATGTATGATCCACTTCCCGAAGTGGGCCTATAAAGCTAGTGGTAGTGGCTTACGTTATACTACTCGTAGCTGCCCAGCAACTCTTGAATTCAGTACCTAGGTACCCGCTGGAGTGCTTACCAGTTATGTCGTACCTTTAGGCTTTAGCCTTGTGACGAGCCAAGCACGCATTGACGCAACAGAAGCTCATTCAACTCCATCCACCTCACCCACACCTAGCACAGAACAATACCTATCACCCATCAAGATGTCGGGAGCTACAGTAGATCATACCCAGTCCATCCGTAATGCGAAATGCTGATTCAGAGCTATCTTAGGATCGCGAGGCTGTCTTCCCGACCCGGCAGTCGCTGGGTATCATGAAGGCCAAGCTCAAGGGAGCAGAGACAGGACATAGTCTGTTGAAAAGAAAGAGCGAGGCTCTTACGAAGTACGTGTTAATTTACAAAAAAAAAAACCCTCAACACGCCCGATACTGACATGGTGATTGCAGACGATTTCGAGGTTCATAGCCCCATTCCCACTTCGTCGTGATAGCGACCCGGAGGTTGTTTAGCCGTACTAATGGCTCTTCATACAGAAATCACGAGGCGAATAGATGAAGCGAAAAGAAAGATGGGAAGGGTGATGCAGATTGCAGCTTTCTCCCTGGCTGAGGTTACCTATGCGGTGGGCGGTGATATTGGGTATCAGGTACAGGAGTCCGCTAAATCTGCCCGCTTCAGGGTTCGCACAAAACAAGACAACGTCTCCGGTGTTTTGCTTCCGGCTTTTGAAAGTTATCTCACTGAGGGCAATAACGACTTTGGCCTGACAGGCTTGGGCAAGGGAGGACAGCAGGTTCAACGATGCAGAGAAACATACGCCCGCGCTGTGGAAGCACTTGTTGAACTTGCCAGTCTGCAGACTGCATTCGTAATCCTTGACGAGGTTATCAAAGTAGTTAACCGGCGTGGTCAGTTCTCTCTATCCTGTCGAAGCTACGAATGCTAACGCCCAGGAAGTAAACGCCATCGAACATGTCATTATACCAAGGACCGAAAACACCATCAAGTACATCAACTCGGAGCTAGACGAGCTTGACCGCGAGGAATTCTACAGATTGAAGAAGGTATGATCGGATCACACTCTACGTAAGATCCAGCTCTGATCAACTCCAGGTTGCAAACAAAAAGCAGCGCGATACAGCTGCGGCAGATGCCGAAATGAAGGCGCGTCGTGAAGTGGAGGCTGCGGCGCAAAACGGACAGACGTCTCAAAAGGACGATGTTACCCCTACAGATGTTCTTGGTGCGGGAGACGATGAAGACGTTATCTTTTAGACGGCCCCTACACGTTGGTTGCTTAAACCAAACCAAAATATGACGTTTCGTTAGCATGGTTACTCAGTTCAGAAGCGCATTCGATGCAAGCCGCGTATATTAAATAGGAAATTATCCGGCCTCAATCATGAATTCCACCATACTCTGTTAGAGAGGACATAGTACTATAACTAGCACGCCCCAGTTCTACTGCCGCTGATATGTGACCTTGATAGGTTTGTCACCCAATTGCAGTCCAGAGGTATTCTCCCTCGCAGTTATGGCTCCCTGTTCCGCTTCGTACTCTACAAATGCGATGCCACGACGACCAGGAACCAGTCTGACCTCTCGGAAGCCATCGAAACGCCCGAATACGCTGGTCAAAGCCTCGATGTCGTACTCTTCGGGGAAGTTCTGAACGAATAGGATTTTGTTGGGGGGGAGGAATTCGTCGAGAACGCTGTTCGATGCCGCGGCACTGGTAGATTTGAGACCAGAGGATTTCGCAGCCTTCGCGGGCCGGCTATCTGTCGCAGCGCCAGACGATCGTTTGTTGATTTGCCTCTGTTCCTCCGCGGCTTCGGCAGCCTTGCGTTTGTCTACGAAACATGAATCAGCGATATAGTACCATTGGAATGTAGGAGACGACGAACCCTTCTCAGCTTGTCGGTGGCGCTTATGACTTTCAAGCTCTTCCTGACTGCCCATGAGCTCCACAGTCTTATCACTTCGTGATCGTGCGAAAGCAAGTTTCATGGGCTTGTCGTAGAGTTCAAAACCGTCCATTTCTTCAATAGCATCTCGTGCGCTATCAGGATTATCAAAGACGATAAATGCCTGACCTTTGGCTCGAAGATTCTTCTTCGCGACGATATCGACAACATTACCAAACTCGGAGAATATCGTTCTCAAGGCTTCTACCATCGATTCAAGCTTGACGCGCTCTTCGAGGTTTTGAGCATAGACACTACAGAAGGTCAGCGAGTGTTCCAAGCGTGGTGTCTGGTGTGCAATGACACGCACGTGGAAATGGGAGTGTCGGAAGTCATGTTGCAGGTTTATTTGCAAGAAAAATAAAGAGCAGGAATGAAATAAAGAGAAGTAATTAACACAAGTAGGACGTGGGGATTAGATTAAGGTTCAGCTTTGACAACCGCGTTGCGATAAGATAACGCAGTAGAGTTAAGTAAGGGTAAGATACAGTACGTAGCTTCTTAACAGTGCTAAGATATTAGTTATATACCTAGACTTATTTTTCTACTTAATTTTAAAGTAACTTAGATTTATAACTAACTTAATTAAATGTCTTAATTAAATTTATTTATTTAAAATTAATAATTACTTATTTAAATAATTTTAATTTTAATATATTATAATAATTAAAAGTAACTATTATATTAATATTAAAAGATTAATCTTATAATAGCTTTAAATTACTTAAGCTTTTTAAAATAACTTAAATACCCTTTTATAGCTTTAATAGCTATAGTAATTATAAGAATTATTTACTTTTTATAGTAAATTATCTTTAATTTACTATAAAGAAACTATTATTATAGTAATTATAAGGCTTAGTATAGCTAATATTAACTTTTAAAAGTATTAATAATTAGTAATTATACTTAGCTTATAAAAGAATATTATTTATATATATATAGGGTTATAATTAGTTAAGGTAACTAACTAGTTAGACTTAAGTTAAACTAATAGTTAGACTAATTATTTAATAACTAATTAGTAACTAGTCTAATCTTAGTTCTTTATAATTAGTAACTAATAACT